TCTAAATTACACATATTAGTGTAAAAACGTGATTTTGTCGTGAAAATCAGGGCTGTGCTATTTTGTGATCCGAATGCCAAAAACAAAATTTTATTTTAAAATATATATGTACTTATTTACTACAAAGTACAAACAAAATATTTGCAGCCAAACCTTCTATTTCTTGTTTAGATATTGAATTTAGCGAACGAATGTCTCATGTAATCCTAAAGTCAATGTCCCATATACTCGCCTATTAATCATACTTTTTTCTATTTATTTTTAAATACGAAAACAATGCAATTACAGTAAGACTAGACAAAACTAACAAAATTATAGATCCAACCACCTAAATATCCGCCAAATTTGTGATCCATTCGGATCCAGTCCAGATCAAGTTTAGATTAAATAAAAAATAAGTCCAAAAAAAGGAAAAACTCTTGTATCTATCATTCATCGTTGAAATCTCAAAATTCTGTAAAATTTTCTCTGATTTCTTCTTCAAAGTCTCTTTGATTTTTCCTTTTACCAATCGCTATGGCCCTCCAACAATCAAGAAGCTTCACCGTTCGAGAGTAATTCTTCTTCGACTCTAGGAGAATATGCTTCTTCTTCGCCCTCAAGTTCTTCGTCGCTAAACTCGTCGTCGAGCTCATCATCTTCACAATCCCTGCCGTCACCTTCTCCGACAGGTTTAGATCCTGGTCCCTCATGTGTTGAGAAATCGACGAAAGATAAAAGCATCACGGACAAGAATCGAAATCTTACCAGTAATAGCACACTGATTCTGGAAAAAAATCAGCAAAGAACAAAGAAAAAACAACATCATGAGGCATCAAAATCGAAAGGATACAAAGTATATGCAACTTTGAGTTGTTCGGAAGAAAAAAATCAAAAGATGTTATGAGTTGAGCGATGCCGAAAACTAAGAAAGAAGAGGATTGAGGCTGTTTTTGATAGAAGACGCCAAAATTGAAGGAAAGAAGATTCACAAGTGAAGAGTCTTGTCTGATTATTTTGAATTGACAAAAACTTTTTTTGTTTGATTTTGGTTGATGTAAAGGTTCAAGTTGCTTCTGCTTAATCTCACTACCAACACATCAATTATGTGACATGTAGCGGAAGCTAAAAGAAGACTACCTAATTGGCAAAAGATTTTAGGCGGGACAGATGGGGATCGTACAAATTGCAGGTTTCAGTCTACTCCTCGGGGTGAGAGGGTGCAGGTGATTGAGCAGGTGATTTTTATCTCGTAGCTGGTACAAATTGTGTTGGAACTAAACTTAAGTTGGCATTTGTATATAGAGTTCATGACACCATTGTAACTGACTTGGTAACAAATTGCATATCATTGAGACTGCAAAATGCCACATACATTACAATTAACTTGAACGAATGTGTGAGTGGTTAATAATTGAAAGAAAATGTTAAGTTAGCTCGTAGATGTCACTCATGTGATACATACATTGATAAAAGAAGACGCTACAACTCTAAATCTAGCAATTCATACTCTTAAGGTCACATGATTTTCATTGGATCTGTTGGATTGTCGGTGTTGAATTCTTGTTATTGTTATCAGATCAAGACGGAAGAGCAATGGTACAAAGAACAAAGAGAGGCAACGTGATTTTTAGAGAGTGAGACTAGGAATTTGTAACATGAAGAGAAAGTAAGAGAGATGGTGAAAGAAGACCTTGTAACGGGTTGATTTATAATATGTTATTTGTGAAAACTTTGATGTTTGTGTCTTTTGTTGTTGCGAGTGATGTATGATGGAATTATGTTTGTATGTACAATTGGATTACTTAAGTACAACTGGGTTTATCAGGGACAACTAAGTATTTTTGTACAACTAGGTTTGTTAGGAGTAACTTAACATAAATGTACAAGTGAGTTGTTCAAAGAATACTAAATATTTATGTCATTGATAAACAAAACACATGTTAATAAAAATGCACAGTCAACGTCGTTATTGTCAATTTTATATAATACATGCAACTGCCAAAATTGACACATGGCAAATATATGAATAAAAATTTTAAGAATTTTTTAAATAGTTGTCCCTAGTTTTTGGCTGTAAAAAAAAATCTAAATAGTTATTCTTTTCGGGATTTTAACTTTATATTAGTTATACCAATAAAAAAAAAATTGTTTAGTTGTACACATAACATATCACCATTCTTTCATTGCCCTAAGGTTTTCATGTAG